CTTGCTCTTTTGTCTTCACTAACAATGGAAAAGGAGATCTTTATCTACTCAAACGTGACACTCCTATCGAAGGATTATTCTCACCATTCATTGATGTCTCTCTACATGGCAGTGAACCTATTCCATACCAAGGAATAATAGCCTATCGTCTTCCTCCTACAAAGGATGACTTTGTTCTCTTGAAGGTAGGTGAGAGTATTTCTGCAACGGTTGCAATCACTGATGTCTTTAACATTGACACTGATGGCCTCTACAATATACGATACAGTAAACCATTGCAGTACCTGACAGTAGGTGATATGATTCTGGAGTCTGTGCATGAGCTCAAGGAATTGACTGTACACGAGTCCGTGTATGTTAGTCTGGAAGATACTCAACTACTCGTAAAACCAAAAGAACCTAAAGAACCGGAAATAGGCCACACCGTTCACATTCAAGATTGTGCCAGTGCTAGGTTTTTTACTTACACTGAGGATGATGCCATAGATACATTGAATGCTCACAAGAGACTCTGCAGTCAGATTGATGTAGCTAAAGGTAGAGTTGGTCCAAATGATGCACTGTATAAGAAATGGTTTGGTGCCTATACTGCTGAGAGGGCAACTAGAGTCACAGAGACATATGAAAGAATAAAAACTGGACTGACAAATCACATGATAGCATATCAAAAGTGTGAACATTATGGTGGGCCATGTAGCGCCAAAGCAATAGCCTGGACTTTTAGAAGTTATCCATTTAAGCCGTATACTATTATCTACTTCTGTGAATCTTATTATGGTTATCCAATTTATTGTGATGGTGACAAGCCCACCAAAGAGCTGATTATACTGACTCTATGGGCTCAAGCTTTAGGCTATAAAGGTCAGATCAAGGAAGACTCAAACTCGTGTCAGCAATTAGCTAAGGATGATCCTGATAAAGCAGTTGAAAATTCTGGCAGTTACGGCTATCAATACTGCGCCAGTTACTAAGCTGATAAGTCAGTACTCAAGTCAAGAACTTTGATAAGAACTCATTCTACTATATTCAGTATTAATAATATCATAATATTTCATATTATATTCTTGGCTTCCATTTATAATAAAATTAATTTAAATATAAAAATACTGCTATTTTTTCAGATGAGGCAAACAACTCAGTTGATGCTAATAGTGCAGTGCTTTATGTAAGTTTAAAATGAGATTAATATAAGCACTGTATGTAGTGACATCACACCAAAACTCATAAATATTCATAAATTCTGTATATATTGCATGCTAATAATCAGTGATTGGGTGTCAACCCGAGTCAGTGTGATTCTCTCCTTTATAGCAGTCCAGCAGACCTTGCCATTACCAACAGATACTTAGCAAAGCACTATATGTTGTTTTAGGGAAGGACTGATATTGTACAATGGTTTGATTGTGAGTGGTGTATCATTAATCACTTTATTAGTCATTGGGTGTCACTAAACATCATAAAACCAGCTCTTAAGCCTGGTTTATATTGCCTTAAAATGCAACGCAAACGAACGCAAAATTAAAATTTGGTGAATTTTGCGTCAACTTTAAAGCTTTTTTTTTGCATCAAAAGGTCAAATTGCCCACGCATTTCTAACTGCTTCGTCTAATGTAAACGTGGCTTTACTGCATAAACTTATATAACCATTTAATTAGTATTTTGCATATGCATGTACATGTACCTGTACAATGGATGTAAAACATGAAAATACTTACATGTGCTACATATGGTCATGTACAGTGAAGAAAACACCCACACAAAAGCACATTTGTAGTATCTAATAGTAGCTTATAGTGTTGACTGCCAAACTGACAGCCAAGTGGCTTATAAATGGACAAAAGAGCATTGGGTGTTGTGGTGTAGTGAAAGAAGAGTATCAACTGTCAATTCTAACATGCTGTATAAGAGGTATGGAGGATTGGCCATGATTGAGCAGGAGGGAACGTACATGCACATGCAAAATACATGTACATGTATTGGCTATATACATGTACATGTGTATGCATTATTAGCATAGAAGAAGGAAACACACTAGCTGATAGTGCTATAGTATTTAGGCATGCAGCCAAGATGATTAATAATATACTACATGTACATGTAGCTTCTTTCTTTCACTGTTTTGATTCCCTTCCCCTCCGTCTTTCTCTATCTCTCTCCCTCTCTCTATCTCTCTCTCTCCCTCTCTCTCTCTCTCTCTCTCTCTGTCTACTAACGGGTTGCTGGCAGAAGTGCTGTACGACTTTATTTGCCTGTCAAGGGTAGAAATTTGTTTCAGGTCATTCCTACATATGGAGACTTGTTGGTGTAACTGCTGGTGGGACCCTCTTATGCTCTATACAAAATAAAGGACATTACATGATGATGATACATACATGTACATGTACAACTATAAAATATTATTATTAATCTTCTTTCTCTTCTTCCTTCCCCCCTCTCTCCCTCCCTCCCCCTCTCTCTCTCTCTCTCTCTCACTCCATCTCTCTCTCCCTCTCTTTCCCCCTCTTACTTCAATTTCATGTAGAGAGTTACAGCGGACTGGGTCTGCCAGATCCTCTTCAATGTTGCTCAATGCTATGCTAAAAGCTGATGCCTTTTCAGCAAACTGACGAAACAGCTCCTCCACCTACATGAAAATGTACATGTACATGTATATGCATCATAAATTCATAATACATTGTACTTGCAGTACCAATAATAAATTCATTAGACATGAGGTCAATTGATTATGTTGCTAATGCTAGGGAATTTTAAATTACTATTCCCATTATGTTAATCAACTGAAATAAACATGTACTAATACCAATTTGGATTTTATTAGAATCAGCTCAATTACTAAAAAATCCAATTTTGATCAAATCTTTCTTTGCCACTCTAGTACATTATATTAGAAAAAATCATAAAAATGTAGAATTTTCTCATAGCTATTTTGGGCACACCCTGTCAAATTTTGGAGAACTTAATAAATGTATGAAGGTTTGCCTGTGTATACATGTACTTGTACGTGTATACGCACTGGTTGCTAATACAGTAAATGAAACATCAGTACCTTCTTAAACTGATCTAATGCACGCTGGAGCCTTGCTTTGTGAGCATCAGAATCTTTCTGTAACTTATCCCACCTACATGTAATAAAGAGGAAAAAGGAGAGGAGAGAGAGAGGAAGATGACAAACATTAGATAAGCAAATAATATAAATAAAATAATAATGAAAGTTCTGTATCATTGTAGTGTACACTATGTGTCATTATAGATTTTTCCTATAGTAACTGACCTCCTCATGACATCAGTGTGACGCTGGGTTATGCTCCGTGACTGAGAGTGATTAGCTGATATCAGATCATCCTTCACTTGTGTTAGATTATCAATACCCTCTTTCTTATAAGAGCTGAGACTAGCTTCAAACGTCTCCTATGTAATTATAATAAGCTAAAACTAGGCAACTCAAAATACATGTATTATCTTTTTCTCTTTTCCTCCCCCCTCTTCCCTCTCTCCCTCTCTCTTTCGCTCCCTCTCTCCCACCCTCCCCCACTCTCTCTCTCCTTCCCTCTCTCTCTCTCATTACATGTTTGGTCAGTAAAGCTTGCACGGAGAGAATGTCACGACCATGATCATCAGAATGAAGCTGCCCGTGTTTATTCTCTGAAATAAAACAAACAGAAAGAAACATGTACATAATGTATAATGGCTTATTCACTACATGCACAAATGTACATGTATTACAACATGCTCTTATGGCTCAATTCAAATGTACATGTACATGTACATTATAGAATTAAGATATTGATGTAATTCTAATTAATGACTCACTGATCCAAGACTCTACAGTGTCAGCCTCCCAGTAAAACTGAAGGCAGTTCTTGGAGTCCTGGAGTCCAGCCTGACGCCTCTTACCAGCACTCTCCAACTCTTTCATTTTAGACTAATAAAATAGAAATAATGACATTTTACATGTACATGTACTATACATGCAACGATATTACATGTACATGTACATACACATTTAAGTTACACTAATTCTAAATGAAGTAATGAAAAAAAGGGACTGTGTTGTCCCTTCAAAAATTTTTCCTGTAAAAAAAACTTGCACAGTAGGCAAATGACATGCTGATCATTATATACCATAAAAACATGCTGAGGCTATCATGGGTTGCAGGAATATTAAGTTGAGTGGGTGACAAACCAAACTATGAATATGATTAATACACATACATGTATATCACTTCTAAAGTACAATTGTACATGCATTATGAATTTAACACATTGAGTACCTTTAACAGTGTTAGCTTTTGTTTAATTTGCTTTGCTTGATAGTTGTCTTGTTTCGTTAGCTTCTCTCCCGTTTCTTCCATCTCTGCTATTCTTCCTTGATGGACTACAACATCAGTCTCAAACGCCTCATGCTTCTTTAACAATGACTAGAAAAGAAACAACCAGCATAATTACTATACATCCATCCTCTCTTCATGGACGCTCTCTATAGCAGACACCTCTATTAACAGGTACGTGTAGTATCTATTAGTGTACCAATTACACTCCTTATAAGAATGACATCTTTGTATAATAGACAAAATTTTTTGTCTCAAAGTGTCCGTTATAAAGAGGCTCTCCTTTCTATTATTATTATTAGTATTATCTGTCTAGTTTCAGTCAATTAATTATTATTATTAACAACTAATAAACACCCACTCAATTAATTAAAGATGTAGATGCATGCTACTGGTTAGTTCTCACCTGGACAGCAGCGAGACTGTTTCCATAGTCATCGCTTCCAGTCAGTGATAGTTTCTCAGAGAGCCATGACTCCTCCTCGCTCACCCGAGCACTGAACTCTTGATAGGAGAGAGACTCAAGCAACTTCTGGTGCCTAGAAAAAGAGAGAAATAAAGACAAGGAGATAAATAAACCATCACGTGCAACTGTATAAATTTAATATATATGTACATTGTATTTGTGGTCATTTGGTGAAGATCCTTCATGATTTTTGGCCACTAAAATTTTAAAGTTCATTATATATACATGCATACTTATTTTGAGTACATGTACATGTACATGTACATGTACATGTACAGTAGCTCAAAATTTGTGATTAGAATCATTTTAATGATGCACACAATTTGTAAGGGCATCAATATGCACCAGGAAATAGAATAAAAATCCTTCTTTTTAATTTCACATCTCACATGCAATATTTGCATTGTGAAAAATCTAACCTTTTAGATGCAATGTTATTGAGGTCTTGCCACTGGTCCTGTAGGTTTGAGCATTTCTCCTTTATCTCCAGCATAGCATAGTGATCAGACGAGGCTAACTTGTCACCTTGAGATAACAGAGACTGAGAGAAAAAGAAGACATAAATATCAGATAATATATATATTTTAAAGTTATTATTATTATCATTATTATAAAAGTACAATATCTAGAAATACAACAGGTTAAAAATGCATACACCTAGGTTTAGAAAAAATATAGGACTTGAGATGGTAAAGGAAAGTTAGAATATTATTGCTATTACTTTCAGTGCCTGTTCATGTGTGTTAAGTTCGTCTTCCAATTTCCTGTGATTGTTGAGGTGTCTCTGGACGCCAAGGAGATCCTTACCATAATCAGTTGAACTAACTAGCAACTTCTTCTCTCTGGAAAATAAGAGGAAGAAAGAGAGAAAGAGGGTGAGAGAGATATAGAGAGAGGAGGGGAAGAGATACATGTACATGTATAGAAAAAAGGGACAGAGAGAAAGGTAAGGATGAAAGTGGGGTACAGGTACATGTACATGTACATGTACATATACAGGTAGGCTGGGAGAGATTCTAAGACACAATATGAATAGACTCACTTGATCCATGCCTCCTCATCATTGATGCTCCCATAAAACTGATGCAACGTGAGAGAGTCCTCAAGCTTTGCCTTACGACCTTTAGCTAACTGCTGGAGTCTATAGAGCAATGAATGGTGGAAGAGTAAAGGGACAGAAATAATAAAGGTATAATTACTATTACTATTAATAGTACTCTATAGTATCAATATTATCAATAGTGATACATGCACAATGTACACGTAGTACTGTGATGGTATTACTATCAAATACTAAGTTCCAGTCATCAATTCTGTAAGTATAGGCTACATTACATTACACGTAGTAGGGAATATTAGTGGGACATTTTAGTAATTGGCGGGTTGGTGATTGTGAAGAAACTGCCAATACAAAATTTCTTTGATGTATTATACCACACCTCTACATGTATACATAAATATACCTTCCAAATCTAGCTTCAGTGTCTCTTTGCTTGGCCTGTATGCTCTGAGCATCAAAATGATGATCCTCCATAAACTTCATTGACTGTGCCTTGAGATCTTTGATACGATCCTACAAACAAAACAAGAGAAAAGATTTTTAATAGCAAAAAATGAAACAAAGCGTTAAAATGTACATGTACATGTACATTATTGGTTACCTGTTGTGCCAGTAGTTCTGCCTCAAGGAGCTGGTGTTTCTTAGCCAGTGCCTCCACTCCATCAATATCTCTACCTAAATCATCACTGGATAGCTTAGCCTCTGTTTCTTGCAACCAATAATCAAGATCTGAGAGAAAGAGAGAGAGAGAGAGAGAAGAAAGAGTGAAACACAGGCAAGAACAAATACATGTACAACATGACATGTATACTTGTAATTGTAAGAGACAGATAAAAAAATTAAAATCTCATAAATAAAAATATACATTGTATATGTAATCCTCAAAGTGATTATTATTACTATTATTATTAATAATAATTATTATTTTTTTTATTTTATTGTTGTACATGTACCTCTAATCCCTTCATTAAACTGCCTCTCCTGGTTGGCCTCCTTCAGTTTCTGTGTCTTCTCATTGGTTTTGTTAATGAGTTTCTCCCACTGCTCCTCCAGTGATCCTATCCTCTCCTGTATGTCTCCCTCCTGCCCTGGACACTGCTGGGACTCTATTAGATCTACAAGTACATCAGAAAGAAGGAGAAGAACAAATGATATCAAATGATAGACATGTACATAAAGATACACCATCACAATGTCACCATGTAATAAAAGAAAGAAGAAAGAAATAGTATGTTTGGTTAAAAAATACTGACAATTTTGACAGGGAATTATTAAACTAATATTTGTGAATCGGTAGTCTGTAGAGAAAATGTTATTATAAAATCTACCATTTCCCCTTATTCTCCACATGCTCAATATTGCTAGATTACCAAAAAATTAAACCCAGTCAACACTTCCAGCCCCAGTCAACACTTCCAGCTATACTGTATCTAACACAGCAATTAAGTGCCAAGTCGTATCTTACCCTTCCCAGCTTGAACAAGACCAAAAACCCTCTCCTTGCTGGCCTCCACTTCGCTCTCAAACGTCTCGTGTTTCTGTAACTTGTTCTCGAGGTTCGTCGGATCGCGATACGACTCATCCCCGGCTGTTTGGAGCTTGTCGCCCAACCAGGCATCAATCTCGTCCACTTCTCTATTGAACTGCTGTAGACTCTGGGACTGGCCTAGTCTGCTCCTCCAGTCAACGAGGGACTGCTTTAGTTTTGCCCAAGCTGAGAGGACTGAGGCACGTCGTTCGGCTATCTCCACAGCAGCGTAGTGTCTGCTTTGGACCAACTGATCGGCAAACTTTTGAACTTCAGAGATTTTAGGCTCCTAGAGAGATAGTGGAGAGGGAGTAAGGTAAGAGATAAAGATGTACATGTACATGTATAATGTAATGTGTACGTAAAGAAAAGGTTACTTTTATGTTTTGTCTCCTTTTCTTTTTAACTCTCTCTTATTTTCTTATCTTTCTCTCCCTCTCTCCCTCCCTCCCTCCCCCTCTCTCCTTCCCCCTCTCTCCCTCCCTCTCTCTTTCTCTCCTAGTCTTACTTGAGCTTGCAGTGTTTTGTCAAACTCATCATGTTTCTTGAGGAGTACCTCAACAGTATCTAAACTGGTCCCTAGTTTCATCTCTTCACTTTGAAGGAAGGTCTCCCTCTTTGCCATCCACCTCTCAGCTTGCTCAGCATCACGATTGACAACTAATAAATATAGAAGAAAAGAAAAATGTATAATGTTCTGTCTCTTTTCTTTTCACTTTCTTTCACTCTCTTTTTCTTCTCCCTCTCTCCCTCCCTCTCTCTCTCTCTCCTCCTTACTTGCAAGTTCATGCATTGATCCAGTAATTGTTTCCTTGTGTTCCAAGCTCTAACAAACAAAAACAATCACAATAATTATATTACACTATAATATAATAAATACATACATGTATATGTACATACATGTACATGTAAAATGAGCATTGAAATTATAGATATACATGTACATGTACATGTGTAGATATACTTTATAAATACATATTTATCATTTTTGCTATTACATGTATCTTACTTTTCAATGGCAGCCGTTTGTATGTTAAGTGATTCAAGTTTCTCTTTGACGTCAGAGCTGGCATAATGTCCCTTCAGTACTAGCTGCTTACCCAGTGAGAGGAATGACTGGATACTGCCCTTTTTGGCCTCTATCTCTACTTTCTGTTCCTAAAATAATAACAAGTCATAACAAAAATTCGGATGATTCCAATCAAAATTGAATTTTCAAGTTCCTCAAAATTTTTTGTCAAAAATGGCTCAGAGAGAATTCTCCGTTTTTATATTTTTTTCTGATAAGCATACATGTTCTTATGTTGTGTAGAAAGTTTGAGCTGATTCCGATCAAATTTGGATTTTTTATGAATTTTTAAAGTTGCTCAAAAATTGGGCGAAAGTCCCTGTACTATAGTACAGGGACTTTGGTCAAATTTCGCCAAAAATGACAAGGAGAGAATATTTTATTTTTATAATTTTTTCTGATACATATACATGTTCTTATGTTGTGTAGAAAGTTTGAGTTGATTCCGATCAAATTTGGATTTTTTATGAATTTTTAAAGTTGCTCTATATGCTTATAGGAATGCCAGCTAAAGAAACAGGCTTTTTAGCTCACTTAGAATTCTTTATAGAAAACCCAGCTCCTCCCTCCTTCCCTCCCTTACTTTATGTTTATTCAGTAGTCTCTCTGCTCCACTAACATTGCTTGCTAGTTCCTGTGATGAGAGTGAAGCCTGCATGCTGTTAACCCACGCCATCAAATCACTGGAAAAATATGCAAAATAAAAAGCAATACTATAATACACAATGTACATATGTGCATGTATGTAGTGTACACTTAATTAAAAACTCACTTCATTATATAATTATTATATAATAATTATTCATTATTTATATAAAGTAGCTAATTACGATATTATACTCTCAATTTTTTATTCTTCTCCCTCCTCCTCCTCTCTCTCCCTCCTCTCTTTCTCCCCCCTCTCTTTCTCCCCCCTCTCTCTCCCTCCCTCCCTCCCTCCCTCTCTCTCTCACTCACCGGTATTCATTGACAAAGTGTTGAAGATCATAAGAATCAACAAGCTTCACTTTACGAGCCTCAGCGTGTCCCTTAAGATGGTTCCATGCATCCAGGACCTCCTTCTCTTTGCTCTTCACTTGCTTGGCAGCTTGAGGATAGGACCTGCT